CCGGCTACGCGAAGGTAATAAAAATGCCAGTTAGGTTCGATGTTCTGTCGGAAGAATTCTCGACAACTGGGCTCCCGGGGACGCGAATGTAATAAAAATGGCAGTTACGTGGCCACTTTCAGGGCCAGGTGAGAAAAAAGGGCCCTAAAAATGGCAGTTACGTGGCCACTTTCAGGGCCAGGTGAGAAAAAAGGGGCCCCACTTCCATCTGCAAATCCAGAAACCAGCTCTGTGGGAATGCACCTGCCTATCTGTGGATTCACAGGGAATCTGACAGGCTCAAATTTTGTCCTTTCGGAACCTGAACGGACTTCTCTGTTGTCTTACCAAGAAAGAACAGGAAGAGAACTAGGAAAATGAGAGGTTGGTGTTTTTGACGGCCATGAGGATTGAGGGCTAGAATCCACTTGCACGGTTGCACTGGAATACACTCGAATTCGATCCGAGTGATTGTCAACCCTGAATGTTTATATATTTATGGCTGCTGCTAGGGGGTCCTACTGTAGGCCTGGACGTGCTGTTGGCGGAATGGGCCACCAGCAGTGGGATACACTTTGATATATAATAGAGCATGGGCGTGACGATCCAGATACATTTACTGTGTGATGTGGTGTGTGTGGCATGGGTTGCCTTAGACCTTAAACTACCACTGTGTTAGAATCTCTGAAGAAAATGGGAAACATAACTGGAAAATAACAGATGGGAAAGGGAAGCTTCGAAGCTGCACATAGTCTTGGCAGGGTGGTTAAAGAAATCGGAAACAGCTGACAGGGGGGGGGGAGAGAGAGAGAGAGAGAGAGAGAGAGAGAGAAGAGCTCCCCGGACCACCAGTACGCCACGGCAAGGCTCCTGTTCTGCGCCAGGCCCCACGTAGCAGAGTGCTGCGATCAGGTTCGACCTGTCGGAGCAAAAACACTGGTGACCCTCAGTGAGCCCTGACTGCATGATGGTCAGTAGCCCATGTCCGGTCAAATTGAGCACCCTGATGGTTGATAGCATAGGGGCACGGGCGAAATTGAGCACCCTGATGGTTGGTAGCATAGGGGGACGGGTGAAATTGGAGCACCCTGGCGGTTGGTAGCATAGGGGCACGGGCGAAATTGAGCACCCTGACCATGATGGTCAGTAGTCCAGGCGGCAGGCACAGGTTTAGGGCAATGGAAAAGAGGCTGGGGTGTACTGGTATCCTTTGGGATATCTGTAGAAATTAGAATGATACGGAGAAATTTAGCATGCCCTCCTGTGCAAGGATGAGGTAAAAGACAAGGCCTGGAGGTGCTGGTCTCGGGAGTCTAGGAGCAGGCCGGCGAAGTTGAACACCCTGATCCATTATGGTCAGTAATCCAAGAGCTGGCAAAACGAGGCCCGTACTTGTCCTTCGTAAACCAGCACCTTGCACCCCTCCCCCCCCCTGCTGACGCTTGCAGTCGTCCACCGGGAGGGTGTAATTGGTAACACCAGCCTGACTGTGGCTGGTTCGATTTCTACTCTATGGGAGTTCTCTTCAGGTTAAAATTGGGCATTATGCGGTGGTCGCTGCTGAAGACGTCTGTGCCAAAACCAAAATGCTCCGCTGGTAGCCCTGTTTGGGAAGGGCTCAAGCCCGAAGACTCTAAATCCTGGACTTAAAGCTGCGGCATAACTCTGAAAGCTCTAACAGGGAGTAGATTGGCATCACAGGGAGGGCCGTGGTGTCTCAGTCGCCAGAGCCTGAGTGTCCGCCATCAGTACATTCCTTTGCTTCCTCTCCATGCGCCCCATGCATATGCCCCATCCCCCCTCTCATGTACTCTCCTCTCCTTCCCTCCCTCCCTCTCTCTCTTGGTGCCTTTTGTGCTGCATTTTCCGGCCCTCTTGCCTAAGAATCATATGGAAAACACCTGCAGTCAGAGGGTAGAGTAGAAAGTTACTAGAAACACTCAAACAAGGGTCGTTGGTAAGACCGACATGAGAAATGGTAAGTATCACATTACGAGTGCCAAGGTAAGCAACGAAGAATCATATGGAAAACACATGCCCAAAAAAGAAAAGACGAAAAAAAAAAAACACCTGCCATCAGAGGCACTGGCCCACTACTACCAAGCACTGAGATACGCTTGTACCTGCCTAAGCCGATTGATTGTCACGTGCGCCGGGTTGAATGGAGGAGGCTGTGCCTGTTTCTTGGTGATCCATCAGATCAAACACCCTGCTACCGATGAATTCTGGGAACCGTGCACCATGCTGCCAGTTTTTCTGCAGCACCCCGTCCGGGGCTCTTATTTCCGATGTTGATTTCCAGTGTTTTGTAGCCTCGCGCTGCGGTACTGCTTTGTCAGATTTTCTGTTTGGTAGGCTGAGCCCCAAAGTACACAGTGGGGGAACAGCTGCGTCAGAAAAAAATAGCTGGGAAATGTACTCGGGGTTAAATAGTTCATGTAGTTTTGGGCAGTGACATACTAGGTATGTGGTTCATTGTGAAGTTTATGCCCTAGGGTGCTCTGTTCATATCCAGCTTTGGATTCTTTGCAGAGGATGTTATTACCATGGCCTTGACAAAAGATCGTTAGCATTGCTGGATCATTCCAGGGGACCTCTGTTATTACCGTGGTCCCAGCAGGGAAGAGGGAAAAAAAGAGGGAAAAAGAGGCACCTACTGGGACGGAATCCCATTGTCAGTGGCTGAATGAAGAACTTGCAGAGCGGTTGATACACAGTTCGAAATTTGAATTCCATTGGGGGTGGTCCTTAGGGTAGTCCATGCAAATTGGAGCGAATAGGGGTCAAAATCTTGAAGGGGTCAAAATCCCAATGAATGCCCTTGACCAGAATTCAGTGGGTGCCCTAGAAAGGTAAATTTCACAAATGCCCTTGTGACCTTGGTAAACAAATTCGAGTGGGTACCCTAAGAAGTTAAGGGGCTGTCCCTGCCTATGGTGTAGCTGAATGATATAATGCAGGGGGGAATGGCAAGATAGATATCCCCGAGAAGGTTGAATATTTGGATAGTTGCCTGTCAACATGTATCGGGACAATGGGAAACATCAAGGTTCATAACCTATATTAATTGTTATTAATGGCATCTGTGTATCTGGGTACAGTTGGACACAAGTGGGAAATCAACTGGGGCTGTATTTTTGGAATTGCCCCAAGGCTTAAACCACCACTACCTTTCCCAGGCAATGTCGAGAATCAGAATTGTAACATTCTGGGTTCTTCTGGTGAACAGTGTTGCAGCAGTGTTGCTGGATCACAATGTCTTGCCGTGCCAGCTGAAAGGAAAGAGAAAGATCACAGTGGTGCTTCGGCAAAGCTTGGTACGCATTTCTTTTTGGCCGTGGCAAAATGGGGGTTTGGCACACGGTTCTCTTCCGCCTTGGCAAAAAGAGGTAGCGGTGGCTTAAAGCCTTAAACTGGCATCCAGGCATATGGGGGTTTGGCACACGGTTCTCTTCCGCCTTGGCAAAAAGAGGCTCAGAGGTAGTGGTGGTTTATACCACCAGCCCATAGTGGGGCCTTATCCACTGCCATCTAGGCAAATGGAGGTTGTGGGCAGTGCCGGGTGAGGTCACTGCGTTGGAAAATGACGTCAGCCCCCGACCCTCGGACCCCAACAACGGTAGGAGTCCGGTAACCGTCGTGAATAAAGTGTGGGATGTCCAGCCAGGGTTGGTGTAAACCGACGTTGGACACGATAGGCTTGGTTGGACTGGTGATTTGCAAATAATAGACGAGCTCGGGGAATTGTCTCCACAGGGTTGCTTTCAGGCGCGACTTCTATTTTCAAGCGGGGAAAGGTACTGGTGGTTTAAATAAACGGAAACGTGGCAGCTGCTGATCCACAGAGATCTAAACCACGGTTCCCACTCGATGATAGGCTGGATATGGGGGAGGAGGGGGGAGCTGTGGGCACCACTGAATCCGATTGTTGTGGGCTGTTCCCCACCTATGCTTTCTTTTGTTTTTTTGGTTGAGATCCGCTTCGGATTTGGTAGTCCATGCGCAGAACCTTAAGGTTCTGGCTCCTTTCCATTCTGGGGAGCAGCAGGCCAGCTCCTATTCCACCGGTAAGTCAGAAGCTGTTACAAGAGGTAGCTCACACACACTCCTCTCCATTAAGATTAAGAGGCCCGAGTGGACGACATTGATTACTTCCCTTTGGGAAGGATGTACCACCCCTCACCCCTGCCTAAGTTATGCTAACAAGACTTACTTTGGATCTGTGATTGCCAGTCATTGTACCTCTCTGTCCGCTTGCTGTTGTAGCCGTCTTATCCGGGCTTGGTCTAACTTGTTCCTCTCAGCTGTTTGGCTGTCGGATCTACATGAAGCGCCGGACGTGCTAGCCTGGCTACTTGCTGCTGGATGGGCTAAACCCTAATCCTGGTGGTCCTTTGTCTAGGTCTTATCAATATCATGTGGTTGGCGAAGCTTGAACTGGTCTGGAATGCTGCGTTCTGGTGACTTTGCTAAGACTTTTTACCCTGCCCGAGCTATTTCCACAACCTGTCTATGCTCCTAGGTCTTGCCTAATTACTGTGCTGTGTTTTGTTTAGTGTACTACCTGTGTCCTAGCGGTGTGGTCGATCGGTCCATTGCTCTTTTTTACGAGGATTCCATGTGGATGCCGAACGATTCGTGTTGAGCGAATGTGTTTCTGTTTGCGCCGAACTTTGTGGAGCATTTGTGCCCTCCTCCCATATTGCCAATACTAGGCTGTGTCCCTTGATTGCTGCAATCTTATCCCCTGCCAGGAAGTTATTCTCCAAGATCTGTTTGTGCTCTGCTGCTTTGAGTTCATCCTTTCTCATTTTCCTTCTCACTCTGCGCCACAGTACTCAGAATTCTGTTCAACCTGTTTCCTCGGCTGTTGGGAAAATCCATTTCCTCGGTTAGTGGTGCGCATGCACTTCTTTTTTTCTTTCTTGTTGGAAAAATCCGATTCCTCGGTTAAGTGTGGCGCATGCGCTACATGTGGTGGTTTATGTTTTGGGTTTCTTGCATGCTGGTGTGGTGCACAGGTGGTGGACATGGAGGATCTCTTGAAGGAGAGGGATGCATGTGGTGTCGGAGTGATAGCCAATCTGAAGAACAAGGCAAGCCATAAGATTGTAGAGCAGGCATTGATTGCACTTGGATGTATGGAGCATCGAGGGGCGTGCAGTGCGGATAACAGGTCAGGAGATGGCGCTGGGGTGATGACTCGCATTCCTTGGGCACTGTTCAATGAGTGGGCGAAGGAGAAGGGCCTTGATCCCTTGGATGAAAACAACACCGGAGTGGGGATGGTGTTTCTACCAAGAGATCTGGAGAAGGCAGCTGCAGCGCAGGAGGGTCAGTTCACTGTTCTGCACCTCATCCAGTGATTCTGCTTGCATGAGACTACAATTTATAATTATGTTGCCTTCTTGCTCCGGGTTGCTAGTGATTTGTGACTTCAAAAGAACTTTGTTCTCTTGATGGCGTGCGTTGGCATGAAGTGAAATTACAGTGATTGATATCAACATGACAGCGAGTGAAACCACAGAGGAAAAAAAAAAAAAGAAAAAAGAAAGGAAGATCACAGAGCAAAAACAACAAAAAGAAAGGAATCAGTCAAATCAGTCAAAGTGAGGTCGAGTGAGCGATATCATCATGAGAGTAAGTGAAGTGAAAACACAGTTAGCGATATGAGCATAACAGCAAGCGACTCTTGGCAGTGAAGGCGGAGGATCAGTTATGATGCTAGATCTTTAATTCAATGGGGAAAGACACACTATTTACATTATTCGTCAGTGTTTTGAATGTGAGCATATTTATAACATTCGAAAGCATGCTTGCACGAAAGCATATTTGTAACGTAAGTCGACAACATTCGGAAGTTGGCGTAGCATCACCTTGAGGCAGAACAAAAGGACATTAAAAGAGAGATCAGAAGAAAGCGGTACAGAGCATAGCAGCAGCTCCTCCGCCTCTCATTCATTCATCTGATTTCATCATCATCATCATTCAGAGGTTGAGAAAAAGCTAATGTGGGAGCTTTACGAAATCATTACGATCAATAGAATGCAAGAATGCATTGATTCTCTCTCCCAGCAAATTCTCAAGAGGAGCCAGCATCACATTGATGCAGAGAGAAGAGATTAATGAAAGGAGAGAATGATGAAAAAGGCTCAACAAAGCATAACAACTGCAAAAATCAGCTTTGTTCCTCTGTTAAATAATTGAATAAAAAAGAACTCGAGTGCAGATCATAATCATAGTAAATCAATAGATCAAATGGATGATTCCACTCTCTCGCCCAGATAATACTCCGGCGGGAACCATGCTGTCACCACCTTCTACATGAATTCTATCACCCCCCTATTCCTCTCATCTAGAATGGATGCCAGTGGACGAGTACTCTCTATTACCACTGCTAGAGTGCAGCGTGACCTCGTTAGATGCGGTAGCGCTATCTTCCGTAAGCCAGGCATTCGTGGTGCTTCACTGTGCCTTCGGCTCTATCCTGGGTCCCTGGCCCCGTGCTTCATCTAGGACAGACTAGCACTGGGCGTTGGAGGGAACCCAGATCCCTCCTGGAGCCATGGGGTAGGGGATTTTGCTGGGATCTCTGCTGCTCTTTGTTTGTGGTCACTGCTGGGACTCCCAGAGGTCACCAGTTGATGCAGTGGAGGGTGCTTCAGACACGGGGTTGTGGTCCCATCCCATGGCCAAAAGTTTGCCTAGGTCGATGGGTCCTTTGTCTGGGTCGATGGGGCCCATCCCATGACCCAAAGTTTGCCTAGGTCAGGATTCGTTTCGAAACCCATTTTGTCTGGAGGGCCTGCGTCGATGGGTCCAAAATTCCAAGAATTCCCTGGTGCTTTTTATGGGTCACGTGTTTCCAGGCTACCTTGGTGATGAATCTCTGTTTGGAGGGGTCTGCGACGGACAGATAGGCTGTTGCTTTCTTTTTTAGCTCTTTTAGGGCGAGAGCGTCCAGGTCCGAACTATTGATTCATTCTTCTTCCTTTTTTAATTTATTTTTTAAATAAGAAATGTGCCACCTGCACAGCATCCCACATACAACCACTGCAAGCGTAGCATGAGAATTGACAACACCAACATCTCATTTTGTCCTGGCAGCGTTGATCGCCCGGAGACCCGGGGATTAACTGACCAGGATCATCCTTGTGAAAACGAACAAGGCACCAAATATATGCGAATGTGCGACGTCCTGCTGAAAAGCATGCCCTGGGGGACCCCCGGGGGACAACTGTCCAGGCTGTAGGAGAATATGACCCAACAAACAGCCATATAGCCGAACCTAGACAGTTGATATTGAAACTAGGTGTAGCGTGCTCTGCTTAATCAGGAGGCGACCATAAAATCTCTGCCTATCCCGAAAGAAGTTCAAACGAAATAGCAAAGCCCGTACTCAGCACCCGGCTTTGTTAGAGAGCGAAGGAAAAGTATGCAACAGAGAGGCCAACCATCTGAGAGAGGCAGATCGCCATAGAGTAGAAAACAAGCCAGCAGCCGATAGTCGTGGTCGCATTTCCCAGCCAGCCAGAGGAGTTTGTCAATTGTAGCCCTCGAGCGAAAGCAGGCCAACCCCCAAAACAGTGCATGTCTGAAGGATGTGACGTCTTGAAGGGGGTGTCTACGCGGAACTTGGGGGAGTTCATGCAGAGGCCAGACGGCAGGAAGTGAACGAGATTGTAACCGGAAAGTTGTGGAAGCTGCTCCTGCGCCAGGGCTTGTTGCTTATTCATTCTGTTCTCAGTTTGAAGGCAATTCACTGCGCTGCTGGATTCTTCGTGTGCTGAGTTTAGTATTTAGTCTGTTGTTATTTTTCCTCTGTGCTTGTCACTCTCAGATGCTTTGAGTCTTGTGTTGAGTTTGTGTGCGTGAGAGTCGAACGTCTGCTTCTCTTGCACACTCTCGCTTCTTGTTATGTATTGTGTGTCCTGATTGCGGGTCAGCTGCTGTGCTTCTTATATGTCCACAACAATGCGTGGTGTGTCTATTGCAGTGGTGAAAAGAGTTCTGGAAGCAGAGGGTATTGAGCTTCTAGGGTGGAGAGAGGTCCCAGTGACAGAATCTGTTTGCGGTATTTTTGCCAAGGCCACACTGCCGACCATTCGACAGGTGTGTAGATTGCATCAAGTAGTGCCTCGAGAACCCATTCATCCAAGTTGTGGTTCCATTTGGTGCATGTGGCTTTTTTCTAAGAGTTGACCTGGATGTGTGAGGGTGAGGAGAAGACAGAACAACGTTAAGGCGCGCGCACGCGCGCGAGAGAGAGAGAAAGAGAGAGTTGATGAACCAATTGCTCGGCACAGCGAATTGCCAGGTTTTAGGACTTCAGAGAAAAGTGAAGCAACATGCTGTAAAGTTCGTGAAAGTAGTTGGGAACTCTGACCAAACAGCCTGCTATGGGGAAGTGGGTTCATCGGGCTTTGTGCCACAGTTGAGCAAGCATTGTGGCTTGGTACCAAAGTCGGGTAAGCCAAAAAATATCACTTGGTGCCAAAACTGACCAAACTTAGGGCCCAACAAGTAAATGACTTGGATGAAGAGGTGGCAGTAGACCCTCGCACCAAACTCACTGATGCAGCCTTGACGGATTGATTCTCCTTTCTTTTCTTCTTTTTTTCGTTTTCCTTTCTTTTCCCCGATGATCTTTCTTTTGTGCTGTCCTCGAGTGTGGCTCATCTGTTGGAGCATGACTGCTGACAAAATATTGGTAGCCTGTGGTAGGTGATTCAGGGCATATGGGGCCAGGGAAAGAAAAAAAAAAAAGGATGTAGGAAACCTTGCATGGCGCCCTATCATTCCTGCAGTACTTCACAGGTTGTCAGTCATCCGTTGTGTTGATAAGCTTAAGTTGGTTTGCATGATGAGGTCTCTAGCTTCTCTCTGTGTCTCTAGCTTCTCTCTGTGCGCTGATGCTGCTATCATTGCATTATGTTATTGATGGTCGTGCTGCATGTGCGTCGGCTTTTCTGCATCATCCAATCCTTCCGCCTCAGACATATTACTGAATTTGTTGATCAGTAGTGATCACTATTGTCAGGTATTTTGACATGGGGTTATGTTTTGCAGGGAATATTGGATAGATTTGGGTCTTTTGTTCTCTGGGGGTCTTACATTTGATGCTTGAAAAGTTTGTTGTTTGGACTGGGTGAAATCAAAATAATTTCTTCCCCTGTTCCCACCCCTCACCCCTCACCCCTTCACCCCTTCACCCCCTTTCCACCTAAAGTTCTCTTTTCAAAAAGAGAGTTGACCTAGAGTTTGGGGTGTCTAAGTCAGATGCACCCCCTCACCCCTTCACCCCCTTTCCACCTAAAGTTCTCTTTTCAAAAAGAGAGTTGACCTAGAGTTTGGGGTGTCTAAGTGGATGCATAATCTGACTTACGCATCCATTTTTATTTTTATTTAAATCATTTAGCATGCGTCCAGGAGACCCGTTTGTATGCTTCTACAAGACTACCAAGTTGCATTGGATCAGAAGCTGCTTAGGTGGCAGTGCTTCATTGAAAAATCTGGATAGTTTCCCACACCCTGATTGGTCAGTTCGAACAGGACGGTACAAGATGAAACACACCTGAGATGCTCAGTTATGAAGTCAAAACAAAACAGAGCAGTGCCAGAGAATGGTGTCTCATGAAACGGTGATGAATAGTAGTGATACAGTTGTGGAAATGTGGATGATTAAATTCAAGTTCTGATGGCCCCTCTTAAGGTTTCGTGGTGATGATGAGCAGGTCTTTGTGAAGATGGCAGGATGGGACAATGTTGGAGATATCGAGAGGGAGTTGTTCATTGCAAGGAAGAAGATCGAGAAGGCGGCAAAGGAAGAGGAGTGGGGGAGTGAACTGTATTTCTGTGGCCTCTCCAGTCAAACGATTGTATATAAGGGAATGCTGATGGCGGCTGCTCTTGGCGAGTTCTACCAGGATCTAAAGAATGATCTTTACGCCTCGTCGTTCGCAATCTACCATCGTCGCTTCAGCACGAATACAAATCCAAAGTGGCCGCTTGCACAGCCGATGCGTTTCTTGGGGCATAATGGAGAGATCAACACTTTGCAAGTACGTAAAAAAAAGGGGAAAAGAGCCTCTATGCTCATGACAACTTTTAATGGATATTTGGATGGCAAAGACGAATAAATACCATGTGGGCATTAACAATCTGGTGAATTGCATGTGCCAGTATTTTCAGTCTCTTGCTCTCAGCGATTCAAAGGCGCTCTTGAAAGTGATCTCCTAGATGTTTACTGTGCGAATATGGGCTGGGTTGCCTGCTACTGAGTCTGCATTCTTAAAACCACCAGAATACACAAGCCTGCCAGACTTGCAGTGCACGCCAAGCTTTGCCGAACTGCCAGCGGTGCATGTCTTTTCTTTTTTTGGCTGGGGCCGCCAGCCATCGTGGTCCGGTAGCCCCAAGCTGCCTCTGGAAAAAGCAGCAATTTCTTTTAAAACACAATGGACATCCGGATGACCTTCCGGCCGAGGATCTAAATGACGGTGCCGTGATGGTGTCAATTTTCAACTCGACAGCAGAGGAGGAAAAGGAACAAAAAGTACAAAATCGTACAGAAAAAACCCGAAATCCAAATAAAGAGGTGCCAATGAAATCCAAAAAAGGAGATGCCAATGATCTCCAGATAAAAAAGGAAATTGCAGGAGTACTGGTGCTTCTGTGCAGACCGGCACCACTGCATACATGCATGCTTTGAAGAGAGAGGCAAAAGTGCCTCAGGACAGTGGGGGCTATTGTGGGGTGCCGAAGAGGAAAGAGCATGCTTGCCGTCCTTGCTTGCTGGGTGCCTTAAGGTCCCTGCCATGATTCGACCCACGAAACTCACAGTGAAGAAAAATAGCAAGAGTAACCAACGGGCCTAGCTCAGTTGGTACACCAATACAGACCCAAGCCCGAATCCAGCTCCAGTCAGATGAACAGACTGAAATAATTCTGAATTACCTGGGGCCGGTCAGCTCAACGATGATATGTCAGGACAGTGAGGAAGGGCAAAAGTGCCTCAGGACAATGGTGGCTGTTGTGGGGTGCTGAAGAGGAAAGAGCATGCTTGCCGTCCTCTCTTGCTGGGTGCCTTAAGGTCCCTGCCATAATTCAACCCAAGGAAACTAACAGTGAAGACAAATAGCAAGAGTAACCAACAGGCCTAGCTCAGTTGGTACACCACATGAACTGTTCAATACAGACCCAAGCTCGAATCCAGCTCCAGTCAGATGCACAGAAATAAATAATTCTGAATTACCTGGGGCCGGTCAGATCCACGAGGATATCTCAAGGCCATCGCCTTTTTAAAAAAGAGCAAGAGGACTGATAACGATCAGCCTGTTAGGATGGTACGTGAGTGCCAGGCTATCCGGGTGGATAGACGGGCAGGTGAACTGTATCGAGGAAGGGCAGTCTAACAAATCAGCCAGAGATCGAGTTTTCAGACGTGAACATGGAAGAGCCATCGGCAAGCAGCCCTCAATTTTTTCGTAAAGGGAACATGGAACAGCCATTGGTGGAAGCGAGGGAAGAAAAAGAAAAAGGCAAGTGAGTATAAAATGTAATGTAGGGAAGTGAAGGCGCGGACACTGGGATACCAAAGGCAGTGGAAGTGCAATCAAGGGCAGCAACTTAAGGCATCGAGGACTGAAGGCAGCCTGACCATTTCCCAGAACAAACTAGAAGGGGTCACACTGCTGAGCCGAGGAGTTAACTAGCTGCAGCCTTGCAGGAGCTGGTGGAGATGAATGTCAGGTGGATGTGGATCCTGTTGGTTTTCATGAGAGGTTGCATGCCGAGCTTCCTATCAACGGTTGGCTTGCAGTCAATGATGCACAAACGATACACATGTGGTCGAAAGAGCATGCTGCAGGTCACAATTCAATGTGCACTGTGCAACGAATTGCAAGCAATGTAATGGTAGTGTTGAGGGGTTGCAAGATGGTATCCACAACGAAAAGGGGAGGAGGGTGGGGAGAGAGATCAAGGGCAGAGAGAAGGTGTTGAGGAGGGTAACGAGGCTACGGGATAGTAACATCCATGGATTGGGCGGGAGGGTAGGAGCGTCGAGGGAGTACATATATGCCTTGCACAATGAGAAGGGACGGGGAACTGCCCAGGGGGTCCTGAGGTGCAATTGATGCAAGGGGTGGCTGGGGGGCGAGTGCTGAGGGTTGGTAGCAAGGGGTCATTCATGCATGCAACGGACACGGGAACGGAATGTTAAGGGATGACTGTAATGCGTTATGTATGCAGCAGGGGGTCAGGGAGATTGTTGAGGGGGACCCAGGATGCTATCCACACAGGAGGCGGTGTCAAGGTCTGGTGTGGGCATTGTGGAGAAAAAAACGTGCGGAAGGGTAATAGTGTTTCAGGGGGTCAGGGAGATTGTTGAGGGGGACCCAGGGTGCTATCCACACAGGAGGCGGTGTCAAGGTCTGGTGTGGGCTGCATTGTGGAGAAAAAACCGTGCGAGATGCAACCCGTCTGATGGTGGAGAAGGAACAAGGCACTGCTGAGGGAGGGTGCGAGATGCTGTCCGTATAAAAAAGGAAAGGGGAAATGTTGAAAATGTTGATGCGGGTTGATGCTATCCGTTCAAGGCGGCTTGTAGAATGTTATGCATGATAGAGTGGTGAGAAGGGTGAGCGCTGAAGCAGTTGCAAGGCTTTTCATCTACACAAGAGTAGTAGTGTGTAGAGGGGGCTGTAACACACTAACTCTACCTATGCAGGGCGGGGTTTAGCTGTGGGGGAGAGAGGGGAGGAGGGGAGGAGCGTCTAGGGGTATTGGAAGATGCTAATCCAAATCGTGGAGGTAGGGTTGGGGGTGGGGTGTTGGTAAGATGGCCTCCTTGCAAGAGAGGTGGAGGGGGAGGGTGGGGGGAAATGTTGGTACGTTGAGGGTGGGTCAAGAGATGCTACTCATGCAAGGGAGAGACAAGGCAGTGTTAAACAAGTGATACGTAAGTCTTTTTTTCCCTATGCTCAATTTTGCCTGCCCCTGGATTACAGAGCTGTCAGGGGACCAAAAGAGGCTATCCATGCGAGGGAGTGGCCAAGGGAGTGTTCAACCAACTCTCAGGGGGTAAGGGCCAACTGGGCACTCCCAGCCTTTTTGGTCTGGCAGACCGAGCTTTTCCATTGCCCTGTGCTGAGTGCCACCTGGTTGGGGGTAGCTGGGTGGGGTGGCGGTTGTTTACGGGGTGATGCATCTTGCCATAAAATGCAGCAGGTGAAGGAATGGAAGTGTTGATGAAGGCTTCCAGATTCTGTCCAGGTCAAGGCAGGGTTAGGGGGAAAGTCGAGGCGGTGAGAAGATGCTATCCATGGGATGGATTTTGGGGTGGGAGAGGTAAATGTTGAGTGTGTGCCTTCTTGTTCCATGATGCTATCCATCATCCATGTCAGGTGTGGTAATGCGGAGTGTTGAGGGGGTTTAAAATACATCACCCGTCCAAGGTAGTGGGATAGTCGGTTGTCGAGGAGGGTTGCACCAGTGCCGTGCCACCAGGCGATCATGCCAATGGGGAGAGGATCGGAAGGTTTGATGAGGGGTTGCAAGGTGTTTCCATGGAAATTGACATGGCAGGTAGAGGGGGAGTGTCAAGATGGGTTACGAACGGCGAGAGGGAAATGGGGGCTGCCGAAGGGGTTTCGCTATGTAGTTAGCTTGCTTTGTTAGCTTGCTCTGCGCTGCCTCTTCCTTCCTTCGATCCTTCCCTTCAGGGATCAGTTCTGATAGTTTCTTCCTTCCCTTTTTCGTGAGCGGTTTGTATAGTCCACTAGCTTACCTGTTGCGGCTCCGCCCGCAAGGGCCATGTGGTACAACGCCAACAACAGTGCAGATCGTGAGTTGATGACATTGAAAACGCATCCAATCTGGACCATCGCGCGCCAAGGAAACGAAGGCCCCAGATCGGCTGCTGGTCATGTGCTATGAAATAGGGATTGTTATAATTGTAATGATGTGTTCCTGTTTGTGAACTGCTCTGATTTTTTAAAAATGTGCGTGCACACACTGGAGGACGTGGAAAGTTGGAAATGAGATACAGGAGAGGAGTCCGAATGAATTGGGAAAACAGAAGGGCTGTTTTGCCATTGGTGAATGGTCTGTTCTGGTATTCTCAAATGGTAAATGGGACATTCATTCTGTTCGACTCTTGAGTCTCGAGTCTATATGACTCCATAACCTCCAGTTCTTTGTATTTTAAACTATTTTTGAAATTTTCCTCTTTTTTTCAAGGGCATATCAGACTATAAGGGTCTGCCCCCGAACATTGTTGTGTTCACCTTACTATTCAACATTTGAGCTCCTGACCTGTTGAACAACAGTTACATGTGTGCAGCATTCAGCTACATGGGCTAGGTCCTGTACCAGTTCTTGATGGCACTGGTTTCTCAGCTGTCCCATCATGAGAGGCTGTTCGTACACACTATTTTATTCTGCAAACTTGCAAGCTGCTCCACGAGTTTCCCAACCTTATTTTTACGGTAGTGACGCTGTGGTGGGCACTGCTTTTTGCTTTGTATTTGCTCTTGTTCCCTTAGTTATGGTGTTTTTGGATGTTTGGTGAGGGGTCTCTGGTCCAGTTTTCTTAAAAGAGGCTTCCTGTGTGGTATGGGACTGTGCTTTGCTTGTGTGCTCAGGGAAATCTGAATTGGATGAGGTCACGAGAAAGTGTGATGACACATCCAGATTGGAAAGGTCGAGAAGATGAGTTTCGGCCAATTGGAAATGCAAGCAATTCGGATTCTGCAAATCTTGATAGCGCAGCAGAGGTGAAGTCAATGTGGTTGCATATCTCTCTCTCTCTCTCTCTCTCTCTCTCTCTCTCTCTCTCTCTCTCTCTCTCTCTCTCTCTCTCTCTCTCTCTCTGTGTCTGTGTGTGTCTCGGTCGGAATTGATATTGTTGTCTGGACTTCTGTTTGCACGATGTGCTCTGCGGTAAATGGCAACATAAGCTGCCATCAGTGCTTCTAGTTTGTTCTTTTGCTGTAGTCAGTAGCAAAACCCTTCGCAAGCAGCGGTCGTTTCCCACATGCTTTTTTATGCCTGCGGCAATGGCCTAGTTTTGATATTTTGCTCATTTGATGTAAGAAATTGTTTGTAATTTGTCCCCTGCTGAGAAGAAGGGTGACTCCTGGAATGTCCATCGTACATGGGGGCTCAAGAAAGTATACACCTGGCAGACAGGTGTACGTGTGTCTGTGTTGGTCATGATTGAGCTGATTTAAACGACCACCACCTGAGACTTTTGTCCAACTGCGGGATATAGAAAAGAAACGTGTGGCTGTATGAAGCCAAACCAGTGGACCGCTTTGGGGGAGGTCCATGGCACGCTCCGCGGCGGGGGTGGGGTGCGAAAATGTGTTGCAGCGGTGTGATCGGGTCGATCGGCGGCCTAGGAATAGGCGCGCAGCGCAGCACTGGTCTGGTTGTGTACACAGTCAGCAGATGGGAAGGAGCCTAAATTGATGGACTTAAAAAGCACATCGCATACTTGAGCAGTACGAATCCGTGGGCGGTCACTCGGGTGAGACTAACTAAACAGCCATTGGTTGCTTCGGCATCTACCGACTTCATACCCTTTGGAAATCAATTAAATTATGCCTGAGAGAAAGGTCTGTGGCCAGAGCAAGCAGACTACAGCGATCTATTGCTGTAGTCCTCCAGAGGCCTGTTTATTTAAAGAAACTATGCCCCCATTTCTATTCGATTTCAATTAACGCACACCATACATAATAAGAAAGATGGTGTTCGCCGGAGGGTAAGCACGTAGATGGCGAGCCTTTCGAGGGTGAGCGCGGGGACGGCAGCTGTCCAGGTGGTGCGCTAGGAGCGCTGATGATGTCGAATATCTCGCAACGCGAGCCATTGGATAGCAAGCCCGCATCGCTTTGGTTGGGCGCGCTGTCGTTTTGTCGTCGTCAGGCGCATTGTCATTTTATTTGTTGTTTTCTCGCATTCGGCTTATCACATTGTTAGTTCAATTTTTTCTAGACCATTTCTCCATGCATAAGGGATGAATGTGATGTTCATACATGGGGCCTCTCTCCACTACTCACCAAATGCGCAAAATGAGAATGAATCTCCCGCTAGAACATGGGAAAATGCACCGCCACAATTTTCATCTTTTGTGCATGTAGTGAGTAATGGAGCGAGGCCCATGATTTGCATACGTCTGCAGCATCGACGATTGAACCATGGATGGGATTTCTGAACCACATTGGTTATACATGCCCATCTCAAAATCTTAGGTTTAAAATTGGCTACTTCATATGCAACCTGGACTAAATTGATACTTGTGTGTGTGGAGATTGAATTCAATAGAGTTGCTGGCAGTTGGCTCAATGGTGCACACCTGCTGCCGTTGATTGATTCATGAATGATTCAACTGAGTTACAACCCCAGTTGATGGGATGATCGTCTCAAGGCACGTTTTCCTTTATTGTTGATCGTCTCAAGGCACGTTTTCCTTTTAAAGCCAGCACTCCCTTTTTCCCAGCCCACCTCTGGGTGTGGGGTTCTCTGAATGAAAGAAAAACATGTGGGTGCCAGACTGGCCATCACACGGGCTAGTATAGCTGTATGTGAAATAATGGGATCGGTTTGCAATTCCAATGAATGCATCTAAGATTAGATGAAGTCTGCTACGGGATTAGTTTGAAATCCAATGGAATTGGATGAGATGAAGTTTGCCTGCTCTGAGCCTTGATGACCTGGCTTTATCTCTGCAATTGTGGGGCTTCCCTACCTCGTGTTCCCCATAAGAATATGCGATTACTTTCGTTCCTATGGAGAATGAAAACCATCAGCCAATTGATTTGTTGAAAAAAAAAACTCACTGATGAAAGTATTTGTGGAGGAGCGATTCATGGTTTTGATGGCCATTGACTTGTAGGAAGCCACATCTGATGTGAATGGTGACTGTGAATGTGAACAGGTTCTTCTACTAAGTGGAAAGACACCAGAAGAGACTTTGATGATCTTGGTTCCGGAGGCCTATCAGAACAATCCGACATTACGACAGCAGTACCCGGAGGTATGCATGCACCGGAACTACCCGCTGACCAGGTTCCTCCCTTCCCTCAACCAAAAGTGAATTCTTCCACAGGGAGGAATGATAAATGCCATCATCCCGGTACAATCAATCAGGTGAAAAAAAATGAGGAATATTGCAAGTTAAAGAAATGAGAAGGCAATAGATTGGAACAAAGAAAAGAGATCAGAACTTCAGAAGGCAATAGATTGAAACAAAGGAAAAGAGTATAAACACTAATCTGTTAATCGAACTGGGTAGGATATTCTGGGCCCTCAGTGGTGCGCGGCATTCTTTGGTATGTAGCTGTATATAGTTCCAATCTGGACTCTGCCAGACTGCACTGACTCCCAGTTGAACGTCAAGAAACTTGAAAGGTAAGAGCGCATCTACGGTCAGGCGATCCAAACAAGGGAAATTTTAAATGTTTGTATACAAAGCTAGCCTGGATCCTAAGCAAGCAATCAAGGTGGGGGGGGACTGGGAATTATTGATTCCAATTTCCAAACAAGAACCACGGCACCCAACGTAAGTGGATCATCACATTACTTATGTCATTACGTACAACCTAATACCGTGGACATGCCTAACAGTGAATAGGCTCAGGAAGATTGCACCGGCGCCATCACTGCTCAGCATGTCTGCCTCTTCCAGATCATGAACTAAAAATAGTCTCTTTGGAGTACTGAGACAGGAAGAAGAAGAAGAAGAAGAATGAGAGGTTCATGTTCCACACGTGTTTCCTTTTTTTGTTTTTAAAAATTTTGATGAAATTCGCACCGCAATTGCCAACGAAAACGGCGAATATTTGGGCCCCCGTTAACCGTCTCTCTCATGTTCTGAAGAAAACCCGTAACCCATTCCATACTGGACAACGCTAATCAGGATCTGGAGAGGAAAGATGGAGAGAGGACGTTCTCGGACCCCTCTTCTGTGGTAACCCCCCAACTAATAAAAGATGAGGGGGACCAGAAGAACTCACCTGGAAACCAGGGGAATTGGGCATCCTCACTCATGAATATCTCCAATCAAATGCCTACCCAAGTTTGTGTGGTAGTGTGTGTTAGCATGCACAGACACGCAGGAGAGGTCAAGGTGCAGATGGCCTTCCCAGAAAGGTGACTTGAGTTCTTGTGTGTGTCTATGTGTGTGTTTGGTATTGTACACGTGTGTGTTTGTGTGTGTGCATGTACATGCACGTGAGAGAGTGAGTGTGTTCCTAATGTTGTATATGTTTATGCAGGTTATTGACTTTTACGAGTACTACAAGGGGCAGATGGAGGCATGGGATGGACCAGCATTGCTTGTGTTCAGGTATACGGTCCCAGCATTCTCACCGTTCGTTCCAGTGGACTTCTGCATTAATGACTGGATGGACTGTTTAAGCTGTCTGTAAAAGAAAAGAGAAAACCTAAGCTTTGCCCATAGACAAGGAAAAGATATGCGCAGAACAATGAGGGAGAAAAGAGAGGAAACAGTCACCGCTGCCCTCTTTCTCTGTGCGCGTATACCCCCACCCTCCTGCCCTCCTTGCCCCCCCCCCCCCAAAAAAAAAAAAAAAAAAAAAAACCTGCAGCGAGAACACTACTCACCANCCCCCCCCCCCCCAAAAAAAAAAAACAAAAAAAAAACCTGCAGCGAGAACACTACTCACCATGCGCTTTTGCTGCATAAGGGATGGGTCTACCTGCTATGCACCCGTCCTATACATCTGATGTTCCCCTCTCAGTGGTTCTGACATACGCCGCAGTAGTCCCTCCATCATCCATGTCCACCCTTCCTTGCCCCCTTGACATCATCATCTTGCCGCTTCTTGCTCATTTGTAGTACCCCTCAGATTCCTCTGCTGGATACACAACACACCCAGGGTTCTCCTCTGCTGCTCACACCCCGGAGGTTACCCCTACGTCCTCAGTTTGATATGAAGTACAAAAAATAAGGTTTCCTTTGGTGACCATTCTGCCCCAGTCTCACTACCTGTGTTGACACTATTACAGTGTCCATCTCTCAGGCACCCTCGTGCTATCTCTAACCCGTGAATTGACCCTCCTTGCCTCTTTTCCTGTGCTTGTCTACGGACTCTTGCCTCCTTCACAGTCTCTTTCGGGTACAGAATCTCTTGTTCCTACCATCCTCGTGCTCTCTCTAACCCGTGCATTGACCCTTCTTGCGTTTTTTCCTGTTTGTCTACAGATAAACTAGAAACCCTCTTGCCTCCTCCACAGTCTCGTTTGGGTACAGAATCTTTTGTTTCTACTATCCCATCCCCATTGCTGCCACCATGCTCGTCTCGAGTTTGTGATGCCAATCAACAAACTCTTTATTGCCAATGGCATGCACTGCTTCATCACTCATCCGGAGATCAGCAGCCTGTTTTTCTATCTTGCCCGGTTCTCTCTGTGCTTCTCCTGCACCTTCTTGCTGTTGCCTTCCTCCAGATGACAATGCCCAAATTGCTGTCCTCGTGCTGGCGAGTTGCAAGAATGTGATTCATCCTCCCAGGCGGTGAAGGCTCAGGCCACCTGCTGTGCTGGGTTCAGTCCCTGCTCAGGATGCAGCTCTGGGGGTATTCAACACTTGGAGCATCGCTTTGCTTACATGATGATGGCCCTGTAGGGTGGAGATCACTGCACAGGACACAGCCCAGGGGGTATTCAACACTTGAAACATCACCTGCAAACTGCTGACCAGTGTACGAAATACACCAACGTGCTGAGCCTTGCACCGGAGAGCCACAGTGAAAAGGGAGAGCTAAGCAATGGGAAGAGAAACCGTGAAAGACGGACGGAAGAAATGTGCTTTTTAATCCGTCATAATTGTTGCAATACAAAGAAGAGTGGCATGCCCCCTGGCATAGTTAAACTCACAAATTGAGAAATGGTCCAAAGGCCCATATGCTGAAAAAAAAAGGTAACAAAGGGAACTCCAGAGAAGAAAGAAAAACAGGTTCAGCATGCCTCATGCTGTATGCTCTTTCCTTTTTTTTTAATTTATAAACGGGGCCTTATGGTCCCGGCTCCATTCTATTCTGGGGAGCGTCAGTCCGGTTCCTATTCCACCGGCAAGTCAAGAATTAATACATCATTGGGACTCACACACGCATCCTTCCGTCTGGCCGAAGGACCCCTAAGTGTATGCTCTTTCCTTCATCTGTGTTGGAAAGTGCTTTCTTATAGTTGATCGATACGCCTGTGATACTGATTGGCTTGCTATGGCTCTGTGATTTGCCTTATATTTTGCAGCAATGGAAAAACTGTGGGGGCCTGTCTTGATCGTAATGGACTTCGACCCGCTCGTTTCTGGAGAACATCTGACGACATGCTGTATGTAGCATCAGAGGTAATGAAATTGGAGTGCCTGGAAATGAGCAGGCGGCGCTTTTGCTGTTTTATGAGCAAGGGGAATGAAAACTGTACATTGCTTCAGATCCTCTATGGACCTTTGCAGACTGGGTCCTGTAGGTATGCCAGGTATGCGGATGCGTTAACACAATTTAACCGTCAACTTCGGCGTCAAGATGAGCATTTCATGGTACGCAAGGAGACCGACTGCGAGAAGACTGACTGCAATGACAGTTGTTTACGGAACCGAGGGGGTTACTTTATCTACAATGTAGACTTCATTTATATAGGCAAAGGAGCGATTCATAATGAACGTTCGTACCACTTGGGAAGTTCAATTCTATGAATTTCAATCCTCGTGAGAAGGATTACACCTGCACAGTATAGGAGATGCCTATTATCAACTACCGTAGTGTGTTTGTCACTCTGTGTCGTGTCTCATTGTTTTGAAGACAGGGCTATTGAAAACATATTTTCGAAGGCCAATGGCATGGTATATTTGTTACATATCGCCTATTGTCCAGTGCCTAGTCATTCTAACAGAAGCACAACTCTCAATCTTAGAACACAGCAGTGGTATGTGCTGAAGGATGATTCAGTTGGTCATCTGTGAACACGTTATAAACACACTTATCCAATGTCCATGCTTGTTGTTTCTACAGGTTGGTGTGCTCAATATTGATGACTCCACCATCTTGTCCAAAGGGAGGCTCGGCCCAGGAATGATGGTCATTGCCAACGTGGAGACTGGAGAGGTACGCTCCAGTTGTTCTTGTGATTTTGTTGGCGCTACTTTATTGAAGTTTATTTGTTGTTTTCACGGGTGTTTTGTCCTCATCCCATTACTTACTGAGGATCTTTCCATGAGGCGGTCTGTCAGTTACAAAATAAATGTTGCCATCACCGTTAATTTACCACTAGCCTAGCCTGAAGAGGTGATGAATGACAAGACGTTCAGCCTGCCGATATAGAACTGTGTCATCTTGCAAGCATCTGTCGTTGCTGTCTGGGAATCCCCCTTGTGAATTTGTGATTATTTTGGTTCCTCTCAAACGTGTGTGCTTCTGTTTAAAGTCTAGAGTCTAGACTTTAAAGTGCAAGCAAAGACTTTAGAGTCTTGACTGTCTAGATTTTTTTGAAGACAGAGGAAAGGGGGCGAAGACATGAATAAAATGCAGGAAGAACATGGAGTAAAGACGGAAGACGTTCCCACTGTACACACATGCGCACTGCATGTTGTAGTCATGCCAGTGGGGTATGACATGCATGCTTCTATTTTCTTTGACGAAGCGAGTCTGGAACTCATGTTAGCAGGGTGAGCATTGTGTTGCGATTCTTATGAATCTTATGTTATGATCCATTTGTCTCTCTCTTTTCTCTTTTTGATTTGGCCTAATGAACCACGGATCAGATAAGAGTTGGGGAACAAATACTACACTTTGCAGTCGCAGTCTGTCTTTATGTTCTTTCAAATCTTTCAAGGAAAAAATATCGGTGGCAATCAGTCTCACGTCACTGTCATAGTCTACTTGTAGTGTTGGTTATCGATAAACTGTCAAGTGATGTGAAGACCACCTGTATTATGACTCTTACCACAGTTGAGGATCTGCTTGGCATCTACAACTTGGGTACCTGGTTGATGCAGTCGATACAGCAAACATGATACTGTTATCGAAATACTTCAGAGGAGCATGAGATATTGAAAACCATTCAAACTCTCTCCCCTCTCCCTTCATATGCAGTCTGAAAGTGCATACCTCTCTCTCTCTCTCTCTCTCTCTCTCTCTCTCTCTCGCTTTCACAGACGTGACCTACGACAGGTACCCTGCTGTGTGCTTTCCAAATTGGTTGTGTAGACCTTTTCAGACCCCTCTCTCACAGTTAGGTGTTCTGCACTTTCTGCCATCAATCTGCTTATCTTGCATGCACATACTTCCTCCTCACGATGTGTATGCTTAGCCATTCCTTTTCTCTTGCATTTATTCTCATGTGATGTTGTGCTGCTAGAAAAGCCCTGTGGTTGATGGGAGTCCTGTCGAGTTTAGTGCGTTCTTAGGCTGAGTCTTCTCATTCCTGCTGCATCCACCAGTCTCTGCATGTGTGTCGTTCCCTCTCCTATGAACAGCATCATGATGCCAGCTGTGGCTGCTTCCGCACTTATCTTCTTGTCTATGTGTTATAGGAATTGTTGAAATTTTGAACTTGAATTATGTTTGATCATGTTTGTATTATTTATGTCTGTCTTCTGGACTTAGGTCCTTTTTGGGAGAAAAATCCGGGAATTGATGTGTCTATTTGTGTGTTATTATATTTGCTTTGTGTGCTGAATGTATTGCTGAGGGTTTGTTTGGCCGATATGTGTATATTTGTGCAGGTTTTGTACAATAGTGATATCAAAAAGCGTGTGGCAAGTCTTGCCCCATATGGCGATTGGCTGAAGTCCAGCCGTGTACATGAACCGGCACCATATCCAATGTCTTCTACATTAGATGGCAATGGTCTCCTTACGAGGCAAAAGTGAGTGAGTGTCTCAGTAGTGTGGTGGTGTCTTCCAAATGACCTGAGAACGTGGCGAGCTAGAATATTTTGTGTACTCACTGTCATGCACCTTTGTAATCACCTGTTCAGCAGCATTGTATGTGCATGAAGGATTGCTACCCTGTATGTCTTTGTGTGACCGTTCCAATACTCGGCATCCCTCACCCTGTCTCTCTCTTCCTCTCCCCTTGTTTCATCCTCTTAACGGAGGCCAATTCATATCAGCTCTAATGTAGCACTGTTGAGTTTTCAGCATCATTGCTATGCCTCATATCTGCAACCCATTGCTCATAAAGCAAATGTGTAGCAAAAAATCTGTGGAGCAGCAACAATTTTGTGCGTGGGTGTGGGTTGAGCTGCTCTGTATGCTGTCTGCTTTGGGAATTCTAAATGGTTATGATGATGATGATGATGATGACAAGAACGTTGTAGATGATGGTAGTGGTGATGGTGGTCGGAGTGGGATTGGATGGGAGGATGATGATGATGGTGGTGATGGTGGTGATGGGTGATGATGGCAGGGTTGGATGTGATTGTGGTGGTTATGGGTATGGTGACGTCTCATGATGGTGATAAATATAAGCCTCTGTACGTAATCATTCCATGTGGTGATGGTTGCTGTAATGGTTGTGTGCTCACCTCGCCTTTCATGATGGTGGTGGTGAAGATTGGCTGCTTGTGGTGACTGGTGGTTGCTGTGATGGTTCTTCTCCCCTTACCTTTGGTGATGGTGGTAGTGAATATTGGGTGCTTGGTATGCAATTATCCTCCCTGTTTCTCCACCTCCTCTTGTTCGCGTATTCTATGCCATACAGCCTTGCGACTACCGATTCCATGTTCTTGTGCGGACAGTCTCACACATGAGGATGATCTAGTCCAGCATGCTGTTACCTGCGCTTGTCTTTATTCAACAGAGGGGAGTAGATGGATGACACTCGTGTCCTCAAAAAACGTTTTCTGACGGCTGCTCTTTGTTTGTCCATATTTGTGATGTGATCTTGACTGATGCTACCCATGGTATGCACTTTGATGGTGCGGCCTCGTTATCATGGTGATTCAACAACACAACAGTGCATTTGGATACTCAAGTGAAGATGTACAACTCGTGATAGAGAACATGGCTGCACAAGGCAAGGAACCGACGTTCTGTATGGGTGACGATATCCCCCTTGCAGCACTGTCGCAACGCCCACATTTGCTATTTGATTACTTCAAACAGCGCTTTGCCCAGGTGAGCATTTTGCCTCTCTCTTCTGTGACATTTACTGTGCCTTGACGCAAGCCTCTGTGCCTTGCAAGAACTGCCATGGCTGGAGATTGTTGCCAGTCAAGCAAAGCTGGTGCTTGATACGCCCTCCCCATCTATGCCCTCGCCCCCATCTTTTGCGTTTGAACTTTCTCCCCTTTTCACTAAGGGTTCATCCACAAGCATGTCATGAGAGGGACTTCAATGGGGCCAGAAAAAATATACTCCAGGTAGCCTGCAAGCTTTTTCCCCATACGGACTCGGCTCCATTCTGTACTGAGGAGCATCAGCTAGGCTTCTTTTCTGGGAGGATTTCATTTAGTGGAAGGATGCACTGTTTGTTTCCTTTCTTTTGGAAACAACTCCGAGCATTGCTCCCACCATACCAAGGATCCAGCAAGCTCGTCCGTCCCTGCCAGTGCTCCATTGCCGTGTCAGTGCTGTCACTTTCGTCTTCATATTTGCAACTTCCTCTGTGATTGGTCTCCCGAAGCTCCTGATCTACACCAATCCTTGAACCATATTTTGCAATGAATGGTAGGTCACCACCTCGCTGTTTGCTATCCGCTTGGTTTCCTAGCGTGCCTTATTTCCTGTGCTTTCTCTGTATTGTTTGGAGTTTGTTCCATTGCCAACTGTGCCGTTGCCCTCCGTCGGCATCTCTGTTTCCATTATGCATCTTGAATTGTCTTTTTGGCATTATTTTATATATATGGTCAAGCGCCAAGAGACAGTCTTCTACTGAGTTTCGTTTCTTTTTTCTTTTTAAGGTATTGTGGGAGTGTTCAGAATACCTGGTCCTTTTTAGAAAGCAACAGGGTTTTCTGGTAGTCTGTCTCATGTCTTTCTGATTTATGTGAGAGCATTCTACGTCGTCACAGTCAAAGGAGCAATGTGCATGGCATCATCTGTTTTTCCTTGGCCGCACTTGCATCTTGCTGCTTCGGCTGAGCTTGTGGTTATCCCTTCTCCCTCATCCACTGAGGAGTATCGGCTTGCAAACTTTGTGTGGGCTTGTTATTACCGAGTAGATATCTCCCTCATATAAACCCCTTGTAAAAATTGTTATGAAAGCCCTTGTCTGGAACGTTCTTGGTTCTGTTAGCTACTGTCTTGGCCAGAAACTTGTCAGCTGCTATGGGCAATGCTATTGGGTGTATGTCTTTCTTTTTCAGTTCCCAACTTCCCGTCCTTCCATCTTTCCCTCTTTCTGAGAGCAGAGTACGTGTGTATGTTGTTTTGTGAATTTTTGTCTGCTTTATCATCAATGTGATTTAAATTTCAAAATCATTTAATCCTTGCATGCATCTCATTGTAAATCGGTCGGTGTCTCATGGAGCAGTAAAATGCGATTGTCCTTGGTGATTTACGCAAAGTTCTGTCCTGATCCCCTCTCACCCCGACTCCCTTTCTTCCCCCTTACACTTTCACTCGACAGGGCTACACACTGCCATCGTGCTCGTCTTCTTAGTCACCTCTTGTTTCTAGGCATTCTCACGAGCACTGATGGATTATTGTATAATGATTTTGCTCATTAACTGTGTGGCAGGTGACGAATCCCCCCATTGATCCCCTGAGAGAAGGGTTGGTAATGTCATTGGAAATGAACCTCGGCGAGCGAGGCAACATTTTGAACCTTGGACCGGAGAATGCAAGACAGGTAGGCATGGGATGCCAGTTGGGGTTGCCGCAGAAATTGCAATGAACTTGGTCACAAGTTCTCACAACTCAAAATTCAACTAGTAACACTGCAGACACTGAAGTCAGACATTTGCTCGCAAGCGAAGAGATTGAATATATATGCTGAATGAACAACAAGAAGCTCCTCAAAGCATCCCATCATTCCGCTCTCTCTCTCTCTCTCTCTCTCTCTCTCTCTCTCTCTCTCTCTTACACAGACACATGCATATGATGCTAATAATGATAGACTAGTTTTGCAGACTTACTGCCATTTCTTGTCAGGTGCTTGGACCAACAGACTGCTAGTAGGGTTGGTGTGAGTAAAGTCAACCGCTTTGCTCAGGGGTATCTCTAACTCTGGGCAATTGTGAGTCCTTATTCATCAGTCAAATGCATCCTGGGAAGACTGTCAGGGTTCAACCTCCTGATGAGTTGGTGAAAGTCCGACGAAACAGTTTGGCACAGTCTTTCATTTTTTCGCGAAGGTGTGTATAGCGAACATGACAACGCAAAAGTACACTCTGCTGCAGGAATGCCGGCAACCATTTGATTCCCGGTGAAGATGAATTGACGACTGTGGGGTCAGCAACCCCAAGTCTAACCCCCCCCCCCCCCTCTCCTCTGAGAGGTAGCAAAGAGTTGATGGGCACCAGAGGCTGACTGCATTTAGAGATGGTCATGGGAAGGGTAGGAGAGGAGCGTGGGGACGAGGAAGAAGGGAAGGGCCCATATGAGAGGACGAATGCTCAAGAAATGCTTATTCAGATTTGCATTTTTCTTCGCTCTCCGTTTTATCTATATCATGCATTCGGATTTGTGGCTTCTCCCTCTCTTTTCAGTTGATTGCTCATTCAACTTCAGTGTGTGCTTTCCTTCCTCTCTTTTCATTTTTACCTTGGATCAAGCAAGTGCTTGATCTATGTAGTACTTTTCAGGTTGCAACTTCTCTTCTCCTTGCTGATTTCTTAATCAAATGTTGTAGGGGACTGGTGAAGTGCTCTGTTTTTCTTTTGCTGAGGTATGTGCCTCTGTTGTATTTGGTGTCCCTTGGCAGGTGCGGCTTCCATCCCCGATATTGAATGAGCAGGATTTGATGGAGCTTAAGGCGGACCCTGAGCTGAAGCCTGCGACATTGCCAATCTTCTTTGACATCTCTCAAGGATTGGAGGGTGCTTTGGGCAAGGCCCTGGAACAGCTCTGTGCAGACGCAGAGAATGCCGTTAGGAATGGATCAAAGCTCATTGTGCTCAGCGATCAGACACCACAGCTGGTGAGCCATAATGATGTCGTAAATTACTACACAGTATGTCTCCATGGCAGTCGCTAAAAGTACGGACAAGAAATCGTGGCCAGATTGTGTACGAGCAAAGCATTTGGAAGAGATACTAAAAGCAATAGAGCGAAACGAAACCATGCCAATGAATATGCCACAGCACATGTTGTCAGACAAATGGAAAACGGGGGCAAAAACGATGAGGGCTTAGCAAAAGGCGTCAACACCCCTATTCAAAGGGGGGGGGAGGAATGAAGGACATAGTTCCTCTTTCCTCTTATCAAAGCATGCGCTCCCTTCTTAGCCCATGGGTTTTGTCAGGTGGGGCCAGGCCCCATTTGGTGCCATGTTCATGCTTTGAAAGCACATATGAAAGCACATATCAAAGCACAGATGAAAGCACAAACCTGTATGACATTGTTATCACGGCCAGGTTCCAAGCATGAGCGCAGTGTCTGTTAGTGAGGCCTGCCCCTTATTGCAGGCAATAAAGTTTGCAACTTTGCATCCTAATGAGGTGGCATATGTGGCGTCCTTGTCTTTGTATATGGCAGGTGTGTTGACACAGTGCAAGAACTTCTATTGGGTCTTGATTTGCATTTTCCATCTTTTGCAAAGCCATCACCTTTTCATTTTTCGCAGATATTCATCACCGTCACGCATGTGGTGATGATGCCATCAGAGCTTGCACTTATTGGACGATATGTCAAGGGATCTCAGGATTTAACTCCTTGAAAATATATTGCAAGCCAGTCCATGTACCTATGACAATCTTATCTTCTTTTGCATAGTGGGAAGATTTATATGGTTGCAGTCTTGCAGTCCTAGCAATCCAAATGTTCTGTGTCAGTTAGTGTGCCTGGGCATCATGCACGTCGCACGATAAAGACATGGGTATGGCCAGGTATGGGCCACAATGTGATATCTAAGGCCTGACGCAATGCATAAAATGAGATGGCTTTGGTGGGGCCGTGCTAATCAAATGCTGCAATCCTCTAATCCTTCGGTGCTGACTACCTAGCCTGTCTGCACTTCATTAGACTTGGGAAGTTGGGAGCCTACACACAAATGCCAGAACCAACACCAACAGAAGTGTTGAAACAACCACAATATAGGGCCTCGCTCTACTATGCTCCACATGCACAAACGACAAAAAATATAGCAATGTATCATTCCATGTCCTGGTGGAGGATTCAGTCTGGTTTTTCACATTTGGAGAGTAGTGGAGCGAGGCCCCTAGTCCAATCTTGATTGAAGCAAGTTGTTGTTATTCATTCGGCTGTCAAAGGTTATTCGGGCAGGCAATCTAGTTATGTTATTGTACCAAATTGCTGCTTTAATTGCATGATTTTATTTTCAGTGTCAGTAGGGTCCCTCTTCCAAGAGCAAATAGGAAAAAATTATAGCCCACCCGGGCCTTTCCCCTAGTCACTGTCAGGAGACCCTGAGATTGCTCTGAGGAGTTGGTAATTCCAGGGTCGAAGGTGAAATTAGGCAGCCTTTCTAAACGCTGAGAGGAACTGCGGGTAAATTTGCTTTCTCTAAGGATGGGGGTGCTAGATAGCAGGATGAGGATGGGGTTGTGCTTCCAATATGTGCAAAACACAGACAGTCAATCCTCCCCGCCCGCAATGGAGGTTGTTATTCTGGTAAAGTCTTGATCCCATGATAAATCTTCCCCTCTTCTTGCAGGAGGCTTCGAGGCCGGCAATACCTGTTCTTCTGGCTGTTGGAGCTGTACACCACCATCTGATCCAGCGGGGAGTCCGTTTGAGTGCTTCCATTGTAGCAGACACCGCACAGTGCTTCAGCACACATCACTTTGCATGCTTGATCGGATATGGTGCAAGGTTCGGAATCAGCAACCTCCCTAATGAACCCTTTCCCTTGCCTCCCCCGCTTCCCCACTCTCCCCCTTCCCCTACCTGGGCCTGATCAGTGCCGTCTTGAAAAGGAGAAGGCGATGTGCTCTACCCTCCCCCTCCCCCGACTTCTCCCTACCTTAAATCCTTTGATAAATGTGCAATCCTGCCCATCGAAATCTACCACATGGATGGGATTAGTCCACCATTTATGTTGAAAAGTTAAACCCGACACAGATTGGTATTATCAGTATGAACAGGCATGATAGTGAGTTGCTCACAGCCTCTGTGCATAGCAACTTTTCTGCTGTTAGTGATGTCGGAGTCTATGCCGGGTTTTCTCCCTTCCTCACTTTAAGTCATTTAGGGATGGTTTGGAGACTATTCCAGTTCACTGGCACTCGAGCTTCTATTCTGTCCTCAAGTTTGTGCACTGTTTCATTCTTTTCTTTCCTATACCAGATCTGCTTCACCTCTTTCCTCACCTATAGCAATCATCTGTGTAATTCTTTGTTTATCAATGTTCCAAGGAGAGCCTGTTCGCTCTTGAATCTTGATCCTTTGGTTGGTGAACAGAGCTTGTCTTTGGGCCTCCTATCTGTCTGTTGCTTGCATATTTTATGAGAGAAAGTTTACCTCCAGTTCGATCACATCAGTTTAGCTGAGAGGCACTTGTTCTTTTCTCTTATCCTCTCCCTCCCTCCTTGTCCTCAGGCAGCCTAGCCTTCCTAGCATGTTTCTTTCTTGTTTTGAGAAACTTGTGAAACAAAGAGAACAGGAACGGCCATGTCATTTGCTAACCCACAGAGGCATCCTCCCACCTATTTCTATGTCCTGTCACTACTTTTTCACGTTCTTTTTTTTGGAGGGGGGCAGCGCTTAGCATTATTCTATTCGTTAGGATTTAAGCTTCTAGTCTTTTTATCAACGTCACTGATCATTCAGCCACAAGGATGGGTTTACTGCTGGTCCTATTCTGTTTGCTATTCTCCATCCCCTCGCCTTTTGTTCCACAAGCAAGCTTGATAAAAGTGAAGCATGCGTTCATCAGTGAACCTGTTGTCTTTTTGACGTGTCCTTGAATTCGGTTCACTGAACTGGTCCTCACTCCTCCGTGGATTTTAAATCCAGATAAATTATATACATATTACATATTACATTTGCTATTCTCCACCCTCGCTTTTTATTCCACAAGCAAGCTTCAAAAAAGTGAAGCACACATTCGTCAGTGAACCTTTCGTCTGATGTGTCCTTGTATTCGGTACACTGAACTGGTCCTCACTCCTTAGTGGATTTTAAATCCAGATAAAGTATATACCAGATATGGCAGTTAAGTATACACCAGAAGAGTGTGGTTCCACTTATCGTGGGGAGCGTTGCACTCTTTTTGTTGTTCTTTAATGATAATAACAGTGAGCCAAGCTCGATCTGATGTGTGGTTGATGATCCTTGTGTGGTCCCCACTCGTTGTACAGCGCAATCTGCCCATATCTGGCATTGGAGACTTGTCGGCAGTGGAGACTGAGTACTAAGATAGAGAACATGATGAAGCGCGGAAGGTTGACAATGCTGACTGTTGAGCAGGCTCAGATAAACTTCCAGAAGGTAAGTACTGGCTGGGACTTCCTTTGCCACTTTAACGACCTTCTGTAAGTGCGTGTGGTGTTCAAGGGTATTCTAACCTTGTGTCTGGATAGGACATCATTTTCCATTTTGCTCTTGGTTTTGCTGCTTCTTATTTATGGTAATGTGTCTCTCAACCTTCCAGCTGCCAATGCAGTGGATAGAATTTCACTGGGCCCATCTTGTCCCAATCTTGTGATTCAATTATTTATCCTGTCCCACTTTAGGTTAGTTGTTGCCCCTTCTTCCTGCGCCTGCGTTTGGCCATTTGATTGGGATCGGAGTTCAGCAAACAAATGGAAAACCAGTGCAGTCGGTAGCGACCAACAACAAGCATAGGTTCCGTGGATGTGGCAGCTTGCCTGTTTTCTTTGTTTCCCTTGTTTGTCATTGCTGCACGAAAGAGGTGTTGCTTGGCGTTTTTGACAGCCTGTATCTTATTCAGCACTCATTGGATCTGTGGACCAGGCTGATATTGCCCGGTGTGAGTCTCACCACTACCTACAGGACTTTGCCATCTACTACCTTCTATTTAAGTTTCTTCTGGTCGGGTGTAATGCAGTCAGGTGTGACACTGCGTCATGACCTACCCCGACCGGATTCTGCCCATCTGTGAGTTGGGCAGTCCGATCAGCAGCAAATTTTGTGGCCTCTGTCGATGGCTTGCCTGAAAATGGGACTGAAAAAACAGAAGCTACAGGCAGCGCCATGACTCACCGCGTAAGAAAAAAACGAAGCCGTGATGGGCCCCGGTGCTCTGCCCACGAGCTGTCGCAAAAGGCGGGAAAAAGGAGAGGGGAGGGGGGGGGAACAATGAAACCGGGCCAATACTGGGCCTCGACGCACCACTTGGTCAGTGGTGCGTCGAGGCCCAGTATCGGCCCATTCCGGTTTTTGGGGGGGGGATTGTGTTTGTGCGATTTTTCAGATCACATGGCAGGGACCGGTGGATTCTCAAAACATCAACAAGCCCTCACAAGTCCTTCCAAGTGAAGCACGGCCCGACTCATCAGATCCCATTGCACATGGCGATGGCTGTTTGAGCTCGCCGTCAAACTCGCCGTTGGCCGGCTGCGTTGAAACAATGGTTGCAGTGGCTTTCTCTCTCACACACACACACACGCACACTCTCACACACACACGTGCGCGTGCTCACACACACAGACTCACATGTGTGTGTGCGCGCGCGCACACACACACACGTGGGCAGCCTTGTACGCGGGAGGCATAATAGAACTGTTGCCCCAAAGAAACCCCAACTAAACACAATTCAAAATGGTTCAATTATGATTCATGTTGCTTACGAAAGAGGTGAATTCTTTAGTTGTTGGGCTGGCTCAACTCGAATCTACTTGTCTGGGTAGAATAGAGGCTGTGGTGGGGAAACTTACAACACACTCCCCCCCAGACACCCACACACCCACACACCACTTTTGTCAGGGGTATCCTGGGTGGACTGTCGGGGATGAACCTCCTGATGAGTCGGTGAAAGTACAACGAAACAGTCTGGCACAGTCGTGTGCGGAAGTGCAGCCTCTCTCTCTCTCTCTCTCTCTCTCTCTCTCTCTCTCTCTCTCTCACACACACACACACACACACATACCATCGATAGGATGAGCAAAACGGAATGAATCTTCCGCTGAAACGTGAAATATACACTGCCACTTTTTGATTGTTCATTCTATCGATCCAAGCAACGTACGGCGAGGCGCGCGTCGGTGACTTGGCTGTTGGCCAAGGTTGGAGACTTATAG